GCTGACTTGACGGCACATAACAACAACAACAACAGTCTAAAGCTTACATTAATCATCTTAAAATTAAAACAGTCTGTTATGTCTTGAAATCACCTTGACTTCTTTCCCATATATGTCTATAACTACATCTTTTGGCTCCTTTTCCTGTTTTGAAGTTGTTATTATTTACAGCTTAATTCCTCTGGATCCCTGTAGTCAGTCTTTTAGCTTTATTTTGTTTTGCAAAGTCTTCATCTGAGTTGGTATCTAGGTGATGCTGTCATGTATCTTCATAACAGGCTGTTGTCTGATGTCTTTGGTTCTCTATCTGAAGTACACCCTGTAAAATTTCTTATAAGGCTGGTCTGGTTTTTACAAATTCTCTTAGCTTCTGATTCTCTGGGAATGTCTTAGATTTGCCATCATTTTTGAAAGAAATTTTCCTGCATATAAGACTCTTGGCTGGCAATTTGCTTCCTTCAGGATTTTATATATGTCATCCCATTGCCTTCTTGCTTGCATGCTTTCTGACAAGAAATCTGCACTTAGTCTTATTGACTCCCCTTTGTAAGTGATATTTCATTTCCATGAGCTGCTCTCAGAATTTTACCTTTGTCTTGGGTTTTAGAAAGTCTGATTAAGCTATGTCTTGGTGATTTGGGGGTGGGGCGAATGTCTATCTTGTACGGGGTTTATTGAATTTCGTGGACTGTAACCTTCTCTTCTTTCATGATATTTGGGAAGTTGTTATCCAATATATCTTCAAAAACTCTCCCTGTACTTTTCTTTTTTACCTTCTCTTCTGGAATTTGTATTACACATACATTCTTCCTCTTGATGGTGTCCCACATAACTCTTAGGCTTTCTTCATTCTGTTTTCTGATCGTCCCTCAGACAAGTTAGTATAAGGGATATTTTCCTCTATTTGACAGATTCTTTCTTCCACTGATTAAATTCCACTTCTATGTCCTTCCACTGAATTATCTATTTCTGATATTTTACTGTTAATCTTCTGGATTTCTAGCTGGTTTTGCAAGGTTTTTAATTGTCTATTTATTTTCTCACTTTGTTTTTGCATTGTTTTCCTGAATTCTTCTAGAGTTTTGTCTGTTTTCTTTGATGTAAGGATCCTCTATACAAGTCTTTTGATTGTTTATCAGGTAGTTCCAGAATCATTTCTTCTTCTGGAGGTTTTCTGCCTCTTTGTTTTGTTCACCTGCTTGAGTATCTTGTCCTGTTTTTCTTATATGATTTGATACTGTCTGTTGTCTCTAAGGCATGTAGGTACTATTTTATTGATTAATTGGTTGTATGTTTGTTTCCTTCCTCCTGATTTTGTTTGTTTGTTTGTTTTGATATATTAGGGTGGGCAGGTCAAGCATGGCACACTGATTGCTCCTCTGGTGGCACAGAAGTGCTTACCTCCTGTCTCTGGGTGAATAGGGCAGCGATGGGCAGGGTGAGCCCTCATTATTATTCTCTGGGTGTGCAAGATGGCTGAAGATGAGCCGAGTGTGCAATGGCCATTGCCCGTCATTGGTCCAGTGGTGTGGGAGCACTCCCTGTTGTTTGACAGTTCGGCAGGCTGGCAGGAGGGGAGTGCAGCAGGTGGCTGAGAGTGCAGGAATGCTCCCCTGCTTTTTGATAGGAGGGTGAAGGGCAGGAGAATAGGAGGGGGATTGAAGCATGTGTTTAGGGTATGCTCCCTCACCACTTGGTGGGTTGGGGTGGGCTCAGACAGGGGCTGGGGCAGGCGGCCAGAAGCATAAGAACACTCCCTGCCATTAGAGATTTGGGGCAGGCTCAGACAGTAGTTGAATGGGCAGCTGGGAGTGAGGGAGCATTACTTTGCCATCAGTGGGTCAGGAAAGGCTCTAGTGGGCAGCCAGGAGCACAGGAATACTCCCCTGCTGCTCAGTGGACCAGGGCAGGCTCATGAAAGGGTTGGGTCAAGCTGCTGGGGCACAGGCTTGAGTGAGTGTCAAGTCAGGTGGCCGGGAACCTGGGAACACTCCCCTGACACTGAGAAGGCTGGGCAGGTCTGGGTGGGATTTGAGGTAGGTGGTTGGCTGGAAGCAGAGGACTACTGCTGGGTGGGTGTGGGCAGGTGGGGACCTCTTGCTGACACTCAATGGGTCTATTACTCCATTTTTACCACACCACCACCACCTCTATGGAAAGAGACTGTGTTGGTGAATTGGCTTGTCTCTGGCTCCTGGCTCCCTCTCTGCTCTGTGGATTTCAGGATCCCTAGAACCCTCCTTGTCCCGCCTATAACATCCCTTCTTAGGGCCAGTTCATGTTTTGCTCACCTTGCTTCACTCGAGATATGTCTACATAGTTTCTGTGTCTCTCCTTGGGAATTCTGTGACGTGCCATCCTCTGCTCCTCACCAGGGTTCACTGTTGGCTCTGCCTCAAGATGGTGATGCTGTTCTAGCTTGACTGGCAAGGTGCCTCCAATCCCTCTCTCTTCTCATTCACTGTTTCCAATCACTTTCTTCTTCTAACTGGTGTTTGACCTAATTCTATATCCTCTCATTTGATGCTCAGAGTTCCAAGATTGTCATGTGCCTGTTTCACTTGGTCTTCTGAGTCTGTGGTATAGAGGGACGCCACAGTGTGTCTGACTAGGCTGCCATCTTGATCTCCCTCCTTGTGGTTTATTATTAGAAGCATTTAAAGAGAAGAAGTTCCCTCTTGGAACCTCTTCAACTCTCTCTCTCTCTCAAATTTTGATATGTTTTCATTATCATTTCCATTCAAAATATTTTCTAATTTCCTTCTGATTTCTTCTGTGATGCATAAGTTATTTAGAAATACTTTACATAATTTCTAAACGTCTGAGGATTTTCTGTATATCTTTATGTTATTGATTTCAAACTAATGCTGTAGTGGCCAAAGCAAATAGTCTGCATCATTTCAATACTTTCAAGCCTCTTACGGTCCTTGTGTAGTCCAAACTGAGGTCTACTTTGGTGAATTGTCCAGGTGCACCTGAAAGAATTTGGAAACTGTCGGAAGTAGCATGCAGAAAAACTTCATCGTCCTCATTCCCCTCCAGGAATCTGGCCCTGTCTCCTTGATGCCACATGGTTCTGCTTGCATCATATTTTCTCTTGGTCCCAGTTAATTATGATTCTCACATCACATCCTGCATTTTTCTCCCTCCAAGGTCCCTCAGGCCCCATTTGGTGTGCAAAGTAAAGATAACTCTCAAGATGTTGAAGCGGTTAGTGGTCATGCATTGCTTGTCACAGAAGACAAGAAAACATTATAGGCGTCCCTTTTGGTCTTTTTCATTCCACTCTATGTCATACGGATCTTTGTGGGACCTAGTTTGAGAGTTAAATTATGAGGGGAGAAGAGAGTACAATTAGGACATACATAGTCACTGTATGCACAGATCATCTGTAAGTTCTTTGTGAAGTGCTTCCTCTCTGACTCAGGACATGCTTATGTGGCACGTGAGATGGTTTCATACTTAGAGTTTGGTTTATTGTTGTTAGTTGCCACAAGTGAGCTCTGATTCATGGTGACTTTTTGTATAACAGAACGAAACACTGTCTGGTCCTGCACCACCTTCAGGATTGCTGGTATACTCAAGTTCATTGTTTATTTGATAATAGGTAATATATTTATGTAAGGAGCCCTGGTAGCAAACAATTAAATGCACAGTTACTAACTGAAAGATTGGAGGATCAAACCCACCCAGCAGCTCCACAGGAGAATAAACGTGTCTATCTCTTCCCATAAAGATTATAGACTCGGAAACCCTACAGAGAAGTTCTACTCTGTCCCATGGGGTCACTGTGAGTTTGGAACTGATTCACTGGCACCTAACAACAACAACATATGTGTAATAAACTCCATTGCCATCATTTTGATTCCTACTAATAGAGATGCTATAGGCCAGTGTAGAAATGCCCTGCAGATTTCCAAAGCTGTAATCTTTATGGAAATAGACTGCCACATCTTTCTCCCATGGAGCAGCACACGGGTTCAAACTGCTGACCTTTTGGTTAGCAGCTGAGTGCTTTAACCACTGTACCACCAGTGCTCTTTTTTGTGTAGTAGAAAATATGCTTTATAAGAAACGTCTCTCCAAGAACAATCATGGGCTGTGTATGCACAGGGAGACAGCTCAGGGGGCAGGAGTGCGTGGAAGGATGGACACAGGGAAGAGGTAACTATTGGGAGGATGCGGAAGGGGAGCTGTTGTGTTGTGGTAATTGTAGTCAATGTCATGAGACAAAGTGTATGTGAACTGCTGTATGGAAAGTGAATTTGCTTTGTAAATTTTCACCCAAATCACAATTCAACAACAATAACAAAAAAACATGTCTCTCCAACCTTTGATTTCCAGCGTGATAGGTTTAAGTTTAAGGAGCTCTGGTAGCACACTGCCTAAGGCATCTGTCTGCTAACCCGAAGGTTGTTGGTTCAAACTCACCAGCCACTCCATGGAAACAAGACTAGGCAATCTACTTCCATGAAGATTTACCACCTCAGAAACCCAATGGGGGTCGCTATGAGTCAGAATTGACTCATTGGCAGTGGGTTTGTTTTTTTTATGTTTAAGTTTGAAAATTAGATTATTTAAAGTAAAAGACAAAGTCAATGATAATACAGGGGGTACACACATATGGCAAACTCTACGGACACAGCACATAATTATGAAGTTCAGAGAAACTGCTGTGATTACTGCCATATATTCAGTATTCACAACTGCAATGATGTGAGCCAAGCTGCCACCGTCTTAAGCTTTCCTAAATCCTTCTTCTGGATGTGACAACCCCATAGAGAGAACAACACGTGACTGCATCCGTTCACCCAGGGGAAGCATTCCAATTGCACTTTACAATATGCGATCTGCTTTGTTCCAGAAAGTTCTGCCTCTGGCTGTGGGATGGGCTCTGGAGCTGTCAATGGGAAATACGTTTGGGGAACAGGAGTAACACGGTCTCTGTGGCTGCCCGTGCTCTCCCCCTCCCTGCACGCAGCCTGCACAAGGATGCTCACCTTCTCCCACTCCCGGTCCTTGTTCAGCACGATCACCACCAGCCTTGGGTGCACCTGATAGCCCTCCTCAGTGAAGGACAAGTCTTTGCCATCCCAGGTCACGTTGACCATAAATCTAGAAGGAGGAAGAGAGAAAGACGGATATTTAAGGAAGAATGGACCAGTGAATGCCATCAGCATGACACTGATGAAGTGTCAACTGAAAATACCATCGCTCATCACGTCAGCTTCCACCTGCGGAAGCACTGCTGACCACACAGGTACTGGGCACTCTCATCCGTGAGCCTGTGCACCGCCTTAGACTCCCCAGTCTTTGTATAAACACGGAAAGAACAAACCTGCTTCTGTCCAATTGATTCCAACTCACGGCAACCCCATGTGTTTGAGCAGAACTGCTCTCCATGGGGCGTAGAGTTGTTTTTTTTTTTTTTCCCTTATCCAGTGGGTGGCACAACAGTTAAGTGCTCAGCTGCTAACTGAAAGCTTGATGGTTCATACCCATCCAGTAGTTCTGTGGGAGAAAGACCTGGTGACCTGTTTCCCTAAAGATCACAGCCAAGGGATCTCTGTGGGGCAGCTCCACTCCATCACAAGGGCTGCCATGAGTCAGACTCAACAACAGCACCAACAACAATCTTACAGAAGCAGATTACCGGGCCTGCCATGGTACCACTGGGTAGTTCAAACCGCCAACCTGCCAGTAGCTGAGTGCTTAACCATTTGTATCACCCAGTGACCTCCAATCCTTTACCAGTACCCAATCCTTATAGTACTAGTATACTAGTAATTGAGTGTGGTCAGTACATGGAAGGGAACTGTTTAGTCCTACTGCACTAGAGACCTTCACGGAATGGTCTTCTTACAGGAGGCTCTGAAAGCACATTCCATTCTCTTAATAAGTTTCCTTAAAGGAGACTACTTGCTCATGCACCATAGAGTATACAACTTCACAAAAAAGGACAGCTAACCACTCATTACTCACTCAACTAATATTTACTGAACATTTACTACTTGCTCAAGACTCAGCTGGATGGCTGGGGATAGACAATGAAACAGTTATGATACTTGTCTTCATGAAGCTTATGATCTAGGACAGGCACTAACTGATCAATTACAAGAACTGTGATCAGGGCTACAGTAGAGAGGCAGGTATGCTATAAGAAAGTGAAACAGGCTTCTGGCAAGGCCTGTGTAAGGGAGAACAACTGGACCTGAAGGATGAGTCAGTATTAAAAAGACGTAAGTGTGTTCTAGGCAAAGGGGGCAACATGTGAAAAATCCTGTGGTGGGAAGGAAACTGGCACAAGTAACAGACTGAATGCAGACCAGTGAGCTGAAGCAGAGAGAGATGGAGGGAGTATGGGGTGAGGTGGGCAAAGAAGATGGACAGAGGTAGACAGTGCAGTGTTCTGCACGTTAAGGAGTTTTATCTTTGTCTTAAAGCAATGGGAAGACACTGGAGAGTTTTAACCAAGGAGTTGACGTAGTCAGACATGTGTTTTATAGTATCACTTGAAGCCTATGCAGAGGATGGGTTGGAGAGGGAACAGAGTGGATGCAGTGGACTAGTTACAGTGCTCTTATAATCCAGGTGAGAGATGATGGTAGTGTGGCCACAGAAGCGAACAAGGAAGAGAAGGAAGTGAAAAGCAGCAGCAGTAAAGTGGACCAAGTGAAGTGAAATCTGGCAGGCATTTAGTGATGAGTCCACGACCCAGCTGTCAGCTTGTCATATTCTGGTGGCTTTCATGTTACTATGATGCTGGAAGCTATGTCATCCATATTTCAAATACTGGCTAAGTCACTCATGGTAGAGAGGTTTCAACAGAGCTTCCAAACTAAGACGGACTATGAAGAAAGGCCTGGTGGTCTACTTCTGAGAATTAGCCAGTGAAAACCCCATGGATCAGAATAGACCAGTGCCTGAGAGAGTTCTGGCAGATAAGCCTAGGTGGGAAGACACTCAAAATACATGGTAGCCCTAAGAATGGACTCAGATCAATGTTCATGGAGACAGCACAGCACCAGACAACGTTCTGTTCTACCGCACATGGGCTCACCATGGGTCAGTGTCTACTTGACAACAGCTATCCACCCATCTCTCTAGTGATTGATTAGGTGTGAGGATGAAGGAGAGAGAGGAATCAAGGATGATGCCGCAGAATCTGCCTTATAGAACATCCATGTCAACTTTTGACCTAGGAATTTTCATCACAGGTGACATCTGTGCCTTGCAAGATGGGTTCCCCCACCACTCCTCAAAGCCTCTTTGCCCGCAGTCAAGTTGGACATAGATGGGAGCCATGGCAGAGCTCACCTCCCAGGATTTGGGTAGGAGGGCCACCAAGGGGTCCAAATCTCCTTGCAGCTTGAGAAAATGTGATAGTCATTAAAGAGTTCCAAGACAACATGGTGACAGCCACTTAGCAGAGGCTCAGTGAATACCTATATAGCAAGATCGATCAAAGCATTCCAAACCTGCAGAAATCCAGGGTACTACAAATATAATAAAATGTTCTTGATTTATAGCTATCTCTTTAACACCAAGAACCAATGGAGGAGACAAAATTAAGGAAGAAGAAAAAAGAAAAAATTAGGAGAAGGTGGTGGCGGCAGCAGTTATGAAAAATTTTAAGGAGATGGACTAGCCTGATGGATCACATACCCAAGAATCTGATGCTGCTGTGTCAGGGAGAAGCAAGGCTTCAAGGACAAGGTGAAGACACTTGAGAAAAAATAAAGAATGAACATTGTGTATCCACTCAATGGACTATTCACGTTGTGAAAAATCACAGTTTTTAAGACAAGCTTATGACATGGGGAACACGCTCACCATTTAATGTTAAACAAGCCTGTCATTGTTAGGTGCTGTTGAATCAATTCTGACTCACAGTAACCCTGTGTTACAAAACAGAGCTGCCCCATAGGGTTCTCCAGGCTCTTGTCCTCAAGGGAGCAGGTGACCAGACCTTTCCCCCACAGAGCTTCTGGGTTGCCTGGTTGGCGCCCTAGCTCTCCATTGTTTGTGCCACTAGGCTCCTAAACAAGTAAACAAGAGGATAAAAGCAGGGCTTGGCTATGGCTGGAAGGATTACTCACTCAAACTCACTGCCATCAAGTTGAATCCTACTCGTAGCAAACCCTCCTTGGGTTTCCGAGGCAGTATCTCTACAGAAGTAGATTGCCCAGCGGCTGGAAGGATTATAGGTGCTTTTATTTGCTTTTGTCCATTTCTGTATTCCTCAAATTTTGTACAAATACATTTACATACAGAAAAAACACTGCTATTCTGGGTGAAGCAGAGCAATCAGTATACTATTTGGTGCACCTGGGGTATCTCTGCTCATGTACCAGTAAGATAAAGGATTTATTTAACAAATATTTACTAAATGGCTGTTCCCTGTCAGGGTTTATGGTTCGTCCTATAGATACAGAAATAAAAAACAGTGCCTGTCCAGCTCTCTCCCACCTTCTTACAGGTCAGTGACTCAGATGAGTTAAGCAATGACAACACACACATGTCACTTGTACCTCAGTGAAGATTAGGTGCAAGAAGCAGTGAGAACGCAGAGGAAGGGTTCCTAACACAACCTGAGGAATTGGGGGAGGGCTTCCTTGAGAATGCTGAGGATGCACAGGAGTTTAGCAAATGAAGGAGATGATGCAGGTGGGAGAGGAGAATTCCAAGCAGAGGAGTCACCTTAAGTAAAGAACAGTTGGCCAAGGAGTGACAAAGCTAGAGGAACCAGGAAGCAGCCAAGTAAGTCTGAAGGGTCTGATGTGCGGAGTGAGATGAGGCTGGAGAGGGTGCCTGCAGTTACATCACAGGGACTTTGCATGACACGGTAAAGTGTCTGGATTTTGGATTTTGTTCAGAAGGCCACAGGAAAGGTTTTAAGTAGAAAAGTAATGCACTCAGAGTTGCTGCCAATAGAAGCAGAAGGCAAAATGCTTCTTTTAATTTGAAGAAAACCTCAACAATTTTGTTTATGGCTTAAAAACTATTCATTATCTAGACAGTTGAGACTGTTCCTTCTTTCCTTTGAAAGCTTCCTGGCCGATGTGTGATGAGCTGCACGGCCGAGGTCCAGAAAGGCACATCTGAGGAGCATTCCACTTCACAGCCCCTTACTGAGACTCTTGACATTTGCATGGACTGTTGGTTGAGAGAAGAGCTGAGCTTTGGTCAAACTCATTATTGACTGACTTTCAAAGTAACTAATTAGAGCTTAAATTGAGCTTATTTTTTTATTTTTCAAGCTGACGTCTTCATTTTGCTCCCCACAGTTATTTTCAGTCCCTATCACACTGGCTGGCACACTACAGGAGTTCAAGCAATGTTCAGCCACTGAGCATATTAACAAATCATCACCAGAAGTACTATCCATCCATCCACCCATCCATCCATCCATCCATCCATCCATCCATCCATCCATCTACCCACCGATCCACCCATCCATCCATCCATCCATTCAACTATCTGTCCAACAATCCATCCATCCATCCATCCAATCTATCCGTCCATACATACATCTGTTCACCCAGCCATCTGTCCATTCATCCATCCTTCCATCCAGCATCTTACTATATGTCATGCCCTGTGTCAAGCCCTGTGCAAGGCAAAAAAAAAAAAAAAAATTTATAAAAATAACCAAACATACTTTATTTTTCAAGGTTGGGGACGGGACATAAATAATCACAATAAAGAATAAACCAAACCCAAAACCAAACCCACTGCCATCGAGTCAATTCCGACTCATAGCAACCCCCATTGGGTTCCCAAGGCAGTAAACCTTTATGGAAATTGATTGCCCAGTCTCGCTCCTGAGGAGTGGCTGGTTCCACCAACCTTCCAGTTAGCAGTCAGATGTCTCAGGCACCGTACTACCAGAGCTCCAATAAAGAATAGCAAGCGTGAACATAGAGGTACGCACTACCTAGGTTGGTAAAGAGCAGAAGGAATACAGTGGCTGATTCCACAGTGGACAAAGGGTTGGCATCAGGAAACAGAGTGGGGAAATCTGGGTAGAGCTGAGAAGGAAGAGTTAAAAGTGGGTCAGGTGAATGGCAAGAGGAAGGGGAGAAGAGCTACTGCAGGGAGGAAAGTGCAAAGTC